CGCTCTGACAACTGCCGGTTCTTGGCAGTACTTTCCTCACGATCTGACAGCGTGAGGAAAGTGCAGCCGAGAACTGGCACTTGCATTTCCCTGTGATCAGCGTGTCATTGAACACCGCTGATCACGTGGTAAAAGGCCGGTGGGATCGGCCATTCACCACATCACGTGATCAGCTGTGTCCGTAGGACACAGCGATCACGGAGATCGCCGGGTGCGCGCCCCCTGGGGCGCGCAGGAGAGCGCGTTCTGGGAGGACGTCATATGACGTCCACTCAGAACTGGCCGGCCGCGGTGAAGCCGTCATTCGGCTATGCGCGGTCGGCAAGAAGTTAAAGAAAGAGAAACGGGGTGAGCTGACTGAACAACTACAGTAGCACACATCCAAAAGTAACAAAATTAACTTGGGTTCATTCTTTACGTTATGCTTCGGAGATTCTAAAGGATCCAACTCAAACACAAGTAGGAATCATTTTATTTCACTTTTAGGATTTGTTCACACTTGCTTCAAAATGAGGCATTGAACACACGCTTTTTTTTTTAAAGTTCTCTGAATGCCAATCAAAGCCCCTGTCGCCAACTAAAATGATAAGCTCACAGTCATGTTCACATGTTGTGTTTACTAAGCTTCAAAAATTATACCCCATGTCCCTTTCTTGGTGCTTGAAAGCGTCTCTGAAGCCTCCACAGAAATCCAGCACAAAGCTTGCTTACAGCACTTGCAGCTTTTGAGAGGCTTTTTATGCAGCTTAAGTCCTCATGCACACGGGACGTTTTTACAGCGGCTGTTTTTTGGCTTTTGATGTTTTTTTTCTACAGCATGTTATCCTATGTGTTCATGCACACAGACTATAATCAAAAATTTTTGGCTGGAAAAAAAAACCCAGGACTAATGGATTTCTGGAGGTTTTTTTTTCCAGCTGTAAAAACGCTCTAATGCTGAAAAACGCAGTAACACGCCACAAACCAGCGTTTTTGGGACTTTTTGTAAAAAAAAAAAAAAAACGCTAATGCAAAGACGCTGAAAAAACACCCAGTTAGCTTTGCTTTGGAGATATTGCAGGTATGAGATATCCCCAGATGCACTGAGAGGCCAACAAGCGAACCAGAAAGACATCATCAGCAGTCACCTCCTGTTCATTTGTATATATTCTGGAAGTGTCTGGTGCAGATGTCACATCTGGTGAGCAGGGTCTGGACTGGAGAAGAGAAATTAGCAGACGGCACACAACATGGGAAAGCTAGAGCGGTAGGGTGAGCGGAGACTGGAGAGAGAGGACTGGGCAGCAGGGGATCAGCAAGGCTAGGTTCACATATGTGCGGGTGGTGCGGCTGCAGGACCCGCACAAAAATACATGCAGCCGCACCACCCACACACAGGTGCATGCCGCCCGCATTGGAAATCGCAACCGTACTGGGAATCTCGGGGCTGCGGTTTCCAAAGAAGTGCAGGGACTTCTTCCCTGTGTGTTCCGGGGCACAAGAGTCCATTCAAATTACACTGTCGCTTCAAATGTTTTTTTTTTTGTTTATTTTTTTAAATCACTTTTATTGCTGTCACAAGGAATTATTATTTATGTTATTTTTACACTGTCGCTTTAAATGTTTTTTTTTTTTTTTAAATCACTTTTATTGCTGTCACAAGGAATTATTTTTATTTTATTTTTTACTGTCGCTTTAAAATTTTTTTTTTATCACTTTTATTGCTGTCACAAGGAATTATTTTTTATTTTATTTTTACACTGTCGCTTTAAATGTTTTTTTTTATCACTTTTATTGTTGTCACAAGGAATTATTATTTATTTTATTTTTACACTATCGCTTTTAAAAAAAAAAAAAAACATTTAAAGCGATAGTGTAAAAATAAAATAAATAATAATTCCTTGTGACAGCAATAAAAGTGATTAAAAAAAAAACATTTAAAGTGACAGTGTAAAAATAAAATAAAATAATTCGTTGTGACAGCAATAAAAGTGATAAAAAAAAAACATTTATCACTTTTATTGCTGTCACAAGGAATTATTTTATTTTTACACTGTTGCTTTAAATGTTTTTTTTAATCACTTTTATTGCTGTCACAAAGAATGTAAACATCCCCTGTGACAAAAATAGACACGTGACAGGTACTCTTTATGCAGGGATCTGAAGTCTACGAGACCCCAAATTCCTCCTCTGCACTTGAAAGCATCCAAAACACCAAGATCAGTGTTTTTGAATGCTTTTTCGATTTTTCAAAATGGCACCAGAAGTGAGTAAACCGGAAGTGAAGTCAGGTCATTGCTTCTGGCTTACTATAAAAGGAGAACCAATCAAAGCTGGATTCCCACTTTGTTGGGACAGAGATCACAAGAGAGCCACAAAAGGCAGTGGAAGAGGAGGGGAGGGGAACATCCCCTCGCACTGCTTCTACAAGCAATCAAGCGACTAGTTAGCCATTCCGATTGCTTGTTCAAGAGAGCCGACAGCCGGCTGGAAAAAACGGTATCGGGGTGATGCCTGCAGCTGCACGTGTCTGTCCCGCATGTACTCAAACAGCGATCGTTGCACACATGTGAGGTATCGCCGCAATCGGCACATCATGGGCAGTAATTCTAGCAATAGTACATCTAAAAATGGTAACCTGTAAAGGCTTTTAAAAGGAGAAGTTCACTTTTTAGACAAAAACAATAAATGCACATTTGTTTTGCATGTAAAAAAAAAAAAAAAAAAAAAAAAAAAAAAAATTCATGTATTATTTTTGTCTACAGGAGCCTGGAAAGCATTGCACCAGTGATCAGTAGTTGCAGGCTAAATATAAAAAAAATCTCACCCGACCTCAAAAAATCACACCCCCGGCCTCCCCACCCCGGCCCCACTCTCCCCAACCCAAAAAAAAAAAAAAAAAAAAAAAAAACCTATCTGAGCCGACCTCAAAAATCACACCCCCGGCCTCCCCACCCCGGCCCCACTCCCCCCCAACCCAAAAAAAAAAAAAAAAAAAACCTATCTGAGCCGACCTCAAAAATCACACCCCCGGCCTCACCACCCCGGGCCCCACTCCCCCAATCCAAAAAAAAAAAAAAAAAAAAAAACCTATCTGAGCCGACCTCAAAAATCACACCCCCGGCCTCCCCACTCCGGCCCCACTCCCCCCAACCCAAAAAAAAAAAAAAAAACCTATCTGAGCCGACCTCAAAAATCACACCCCCGGCCTCACCACCCCGGCCCCACTCCCCCCAAAAAAATCCAAAAAAAAAACCTATCTGAGCCGACCTCAAAAATCACACCCCCGGCCTCCCCACCCCGGCCCCACTCCCCCCAACCCAAAAAAAAAAAAAAAAAAACCTATCTCAGCCGACCTCAAAAATCAAATCCCCAGCCTCCCCACCCCCCGGCCCCACTCCCCCCAACCAAAAAAAAAAACAACCTATCTCAGCTGACCTCAAAAATCAAACCCCCGGCCTCCCCACCCCGGCCCCACTCCCCCCAACCCAAAAAAAAAAAAACCAAACCTATTTCAGCTGACCTCAAAAATCACAACCCCAGCCTCACCACCCCGGCCCCACTCCCCCCAACCCAAAAAAAAACAAAAAAAACAACCTATCTCAGCCGACCTCAAAAATCAAACCCCCGGCCTCCCCACCCCGGCCCCACTCCCCCCAACCCAAAAAAAAAAAAAACCAACCTATTTCAGCTGACCTCAAAAATCACAACCCCAGCCTCACCATCCCCGGCCCCACTCCCCCCAACCCAAAAAAAACAAAAAAAACAACCTATCTGAGCCGACCTCCACACCCCCGGCCTCCCCACCCCGGCCCCACTCCCCCCCCCCCAAAAAAAAAAAAAAAAAAAAAAAAACAACCTATCTCAGCCGACCTCAAAAATCAACCCCCGGCCTCCCCACCCCGGCCCCACTCCCCCCAACCCAAAAAAAAAAAAAAAAACCAACCTATTTCAGCTGACCTCAAAAATCACAACCCCAGCCTCATCACACCCCCCGGCCCCACTCCCCCCAACCCAAAAAAAACAAAAAAACAACCTATCTCAGCCGACCTCAAAAATCAAACCCCCGGCCTCCCCACGCCGGCCCCACTCCCCCCAACCCAAAAAAAAACCTCTCACAGCTGACCTCAAAAATCAAAACCCCGGCCTCCCCACCCCGGCCCCACTCCCCCCAACCCAAAAAAAAAAAAAAACCAAACCTATTTCAGCTGACCTCAAAAATCACAACCCCAGCCTCACCACCCCGGCCCCACTCCCCCCAACCCAAAAAAAACAACCTATCTCAGCTGACCTCAAAAATCAAACCCCCGGCCCCACTCCTCCCAACCCCAAAAAAAAAAAAAAACAGCCTATCTCAGCCGACCTCAAAAATCACAACCCTGGCCTCCCCACCCCGGCCCCACCCCAAAAAAAAACCTCTCGCAGCCGACCTCAAAAATCACACCCCTGGCCTCCCCTCCCCACCCCGGCCCCACTCCCCCCAACCCAGAAAAAAAACCAACCTATCTCAGCCGACCTCAAAAATCAAACCCCCGGCCTCCCCACCCGGCCCCACTCCCCCCAACCCAAAAAAAAAAAAAAAAAAATCTCAGCCAACCTCAAAAATCACACCCCGGCCTCCGGTATAACCACCAAAATGTCAGCATCTCATGGATACGTCGCTGGCCTTGAATTGATTACACAAAAAAGAAAAAAAAAAAGAGAAAAACCAGAAAAATAGTTTTCTTATGCTACCACCTACTTTTGTGTTTTATTACATTTGCATTGCATCTGCTTCATTCATTTTGTTGCCGATATGAAATACTATCTATATGGTCAGCTGACCCTGGTTATGTCCAACTGAGGACTCAAGGTACTGAAACAACAGCATGTAGAAATTGTAATCTGTTCAAACAACGGAGACAAACCAGACGCATTTCAGGTTCACAAATTTATTCTGTTCTACAATAGATAATAAACCTGGTCCGAGGAAGGAAGACCAGCTACGGATATCAGGAAGTACACATGATCCACCGAACCAATCACCAGGGCCAGAAGAAGAGCTTACTACCAAATCTGGACGGCTTTAACTCTCCATCTATAGGAGGATTGGGCAATGGTCGCTCCCTCGAGTGGTAAACGTTTTCTGGAAGAGGTCGCGCAGTTTTCACTTTGGTGACCTAATGTGGAAGAAAACGAAGAAGCAACGCCTTAATAACCAGCTAGATTACCCAGTTCGGCTCCAGAACCATTTATTTAATTTTTTGCATACATGTACGTAAACATCTCAATGAATAAAAATGACAAACCCCAGAAAATTAAATATATTTTCTGAAAACAGAATAAAATGGTGATAATTACACATTTTTATGTCACATAACTTTTGTGCAACTGTTTGTTAAACACATACACTATTTTTCGCTCCATAAGACGCACTTTCCCCCCTCCCCCCACAAATGGGGGAGCGTTACCGTGTCTGTGCGTCTTATGGAGCAAATATGGAGCGGCCGGAACCCTCCTCGGTATTCCCCTCGTGTCGCCGTGTTAGCAAATACCGAGCTGGCCGCTCGGCTCTACTGTGCAGCAGAACCTGCGGAAGTGGGAGCGGGTCTCTTCGGTCCTACCTGTTCCTCGATCCAGTGGTGTCCTCACCGTCTTCTCTCCCTGGCTCTGGCAATGGTTAGTGTGGGCACCTGGCTGTTACTCTGGTCAACTTGCTTCTCTCTGGTCATCTCCTGTACCAGCGTCCGGGTGTCCGCAGTCTCTGATCCTCCTGTACCTGTCTGCGCATGGCGTCCGCAGTCTCTGGAAGCACTGGCCCCTGTATGTCAGTTCTGGGACCGCTGTCACGTGTCCTGTACAAGACTACGGGGTCTCTGGGACAGCTCAGTCTCTGGTCATCTCCTGTACCGGGAGTCTCGGGTCATCTCCTGTACCGCGTCCGCATTCTGGGTACGCAGTCTCCTGGTCATCTCCAAGGTCTGGCATCTCCTGTACCGCGTCCGCAGTCTCTGGTAATCTCCTGTACCAGCGTCCCCAGTCTCTGTCATCTCCTGTACCGTGTCCGCAGTCTCTGGTCATGTCCTGTACCGCGTCCGCAGTCTCTGGTCATCTCCTGTACCAGCGTCCGCAGTCTCTGTCATCTCCACCGCGTCCGCAGTCTCTGGTCATCTCCTGTATTGTGTCATCTCCTGTTGCAGTCTCTGTCATCTCCTGTCATCCCCCTGGTCATGTACCATCCGCAGTCCGCACTGTGTCTCTGGTCATCTCCTGTACCGTGTCGTCCGCAGTCTCTGGTCATCTCCACGCTGTCCGCAGTCTCTGGTCATCTCCTGTACCAGTCTCTGGTCCGCAGTCTCTGGTCATCTCCTGTACCGTGTCCGCAGTCTCTGGTCATCTCCTGTACCGTGTCCGCAGTCCGTCAGTCTGTATGTCTCATCTCCTCCTGTACTGTGTCCGCAGTGGTTCTCCTGGTCATCTCCTGTACGCTGTGTCCGCAGTCTCTGGTCATCTGGTCATCTTCTGTACTGTGTATGTGTCCAGTCTCTGGTCATCTCCTGTACTGTGTCCGCAGTCTGGTCTGGTCATCTCCTGTACTGTGTCCGCAGTCTCTGGTCATCTCCTGTCTGTGTGTACCGTACTGTGTCCGCAGTCTCTGCAGTCCTCTGGTCCGCAGTCTCTCCTCCTGTACTGTCCGCAGTCTGTCATCTCCTGTAGTCTCTGGTCATCTCATCTGGTCATCTCCTGTACTGTGTCCGCAGTCTCTGGTCATCTCCTGTACTATGTCTGCAGTCCACTGGTTCAGAATATTTTTTTTTCTTGTGTTCTTCCTCTAAAACCTAGGTGCGTCTTATGGTCACGTGCGTCTTATGGAGCGAAAATATATTTTCAGGAAAAAAAAAACATATTAAATTAATTTTAGTGAAAAAAAAACAAACTACAATAAAATACCCATTTTGGTTTAAAATATAAAAGATGAGGTTGCAAAGAGTAAATAGATACCAAACATTCCATATTTTAAAAATGCGTGCGCCTGCAATATCACCAAAAACGACTGCACCCAAAAATCACCGTAGGTGATGCTTTAAATGCGTTTACAGCTCGTCAGTTTAAAGTATCTAGGAGCTGATGAGCTAGAATTATTGTTCTCACTCCCGACGATCGAGGCAATAGGTCATGTGTGATGCAACCGCGGGTTTACATGCCCATACTGGGCTTGCGTTTGCGTTGGGTGTGCAGGGCAAGGGTTTTTTTTTTTTCATTATTATTATTTTAATTTTTAAAACTTTATTTTTATTTTTTACTTGATTGCTATCACAGGTGGCAGGTACTCTTTATGCAGACATTAGGGGGTCTAATACACCCCAATGTCTCCCCTGCCCCTCATACTATCTAAACAAGCACAGATCGGCTTGGTTAGCCACTTCAATACCGGGTGCTTTCACCCCCTTCCCGACCAGGCCAATTTTCAGCGCTGCCGCACTTTGAATGACAATTGCGCGGTCATGTAACACTGTACCCATATGAAATTTTTTATCATTTTTTTTTCACACAAATAGAGCTTTCTTTTTTTGGTGGTATTTAATCACCGAGTTTTATTTTTTGCTAAATAAAGCACCTAAAACGTTTGCAAAACCCCCCCCCCCCCCCCCAAAAGAACACACTTTTCTTCATTTCTGTTATTACATTTTGCAAATAAATAACATTTCTTCATAAATTTAGATCAAAATGTATTGTTGCATTTCTTTGGTGAAAATAATAATAATTGAATTTGTATTTTTTTTTTCCAAATGTTTCTAAATTTTTTACCATTTTATTTTTCAGCACACTGTGACCAAAGCAATACAATGTTATCATAGTAACATTGAACAACTCTGGGCAAGTGAGCAGGATTTTTTTTTTTTTTTAAACACATTATGATTGTGAATACCAATGTATTTAATTGATATTTGCAGGTGGCACTGCTGGGGCTACACTGATCATCAGTGCCCTGATGATCAGTGTACATGTCCCCTCCGCAGAAAGCCGATTACCGGCTCTCTCTGTTTACCCTGTTTACATGTGATCAGCTGTGATTGGACACAGCTGATCACATAACCGAGCCAACATCTTCGGCTCTTTCCATGATCGGTGATCTGCTGTGTCCAAGGGACACAGCGCACCACCGATCGCCGCGCATGCGCATGCGCAGAACGTGAGAACCACCTTGCGTCTGTCATATTACTATATGGCGGGGGAGAGGTGGTTAAAGGTTCACTCTTTGGACATACATAGTAGTACATCCAAAGAGCTGAACTGGTTACAAGTTTTTTTTTTCCTCTCAACAATAATGTAAGATATTCCAATACGCTGACTGTAACCCTGCAACAATACAGTCTCCAAGGGCCTATTCACACCTCTCTCTTCCTGAGCATTGCATTAAAGCTGGTTTAAATTGGCTTTGTTTTGCCTCCCCGGTTGCAAGCTCCCTCCCCCCCCCCCCCCCCCCCCCCCCCCCCCCCCCACAGCTTATATTCATCCTTCCTTGCTTCCTACCACCAGTTATGGATAAAGAAAGCCCTGTGTAAACAGCTATGGATTCCTTCCCCTTCTAACAGTGCTGTCACATAGAAAAGGGGGAGTTAGCCATATGCTCACCCATATCCAGTGCCACAAATTTAAAAAGACATTCTAAAAGGCAAAAATAAAAAAAAAAAACAAAACAAAAAAAACAAAACAAACATGTCATACTTACCTGCTCTGTGTAATGGTTGTGCACAGAGCTGCCCCGATCCTCCTCTTCTTGGGTTCCCCTGGCGCTCCTGGATCCCCCTCCCCCCCGCTGTGTACACTTCATAGCAAGCCGCTAGCTATGAGGGCACTCGTGCCTTCTCGCTCCCAAGCCGTCTGTGTGTCCATTGACACACAGAGCGAGGCTCGGCCCTACCCCTGGCGGTGACTGATAGCAGGAGGAGCCAATGGCTCCCACTGCTTCCTCTCTGTCCAATGAGGATAGAGAGCTGGGAGAGCCACTGCTCTCATGCACATTGATGAATCAAGACTGGAAAGGAAAGGCTATGCATTAAACCAACATTTAAATTACCTTCCTCTGTTCTCCCCATGACCCTGCATTTTATAACGAATCACAATGGAAATACCTTTATTAGTATTTCGGCTATGCAGTCATGTGACCACAAAGCTCCAACTTCTCACTTCAAGAGCGGCTGGTGGGGAAGGTGGGGAGTGTGATGAAGTGGAGACAACTCTCTACCCCTCCATCAACAAGTAGAGCAGTGTCCTAAGTATGATGCTTGGAGCACCAATCAAGCTAGAGAGGGAAACTTTTCCCCTTGATCCTAGGAGGCGGGGTGCCGGCATTTCACTGTATTCATTCAAGTGGTCCCACACAATAGAGTAAGTTGGACGCCGCTCTCATGGCCAGCCCATGTAAGATGATAGTAAGGAACAGCCTCAGCCTACGGCCACTGATGCATTTCTCCCCACCTACCATGGTTTAGATCTCTTCGAGGTGTGAAACACGACATGGTGGCGTTGGTGGTGGTGGGGGGGGGGACGAGGTCTGTGGAGAAGCGTAGGCTGAGGCCGTTTCTTACTTTCATCTTACATGGGCTGGCCGGGAGAGCGGCGTCCATTCTACTCTATCGTGGGGAGAGCAGTGACCTCACTGATCCATGGAATTCATCTCAGGTGTTGGCCCTCCACATTACACAGAGGATCCAGTCATAAGAGGTGGAAATAAAACCAAAAAGATATTTGCATTGTGATTTGTTATAAAATGTATGGAGTAGTGAAGCAATGATATATTGGCTGCTGAAAATTATTGGCTGAAAATAGGGTTCTCTGCATTTTGCCAATAGAAAAAAAAAAGGGTGCAAATAATGGCATGCTTCGTCCCCTAGGCTTCAGGGGCGTCCCCTAGGCTTCAGGGCCAAACTGGCGTCCCCTAGGCTTCAGGGCCAAACTGGCGTCCCCTAGGCTTCAGGGCCAAACTGGCGTCCCCTAGGCTTCAGGGCCAAACTGGGCCCCGTCAGGGCCAAACTAGGCCCCTAGGCGTCGGGCCAAACTCGCGTCCCTAGGCGTCAGGGCCAAAAACTCGCGTCCCATAGGCTTCAGGGCCAAACTCGCGTCCCATAGGCTTCAGGGCCAAACTCGCGTCCCTAGGCTTCAGGGCCAAACTGGCGTCCCATAGGCTTCAGGGCCAAACTGGCGTCCCATAGGCTTCAGGGCCAAACTGGCGTCCCATAGGCTTCAGGGCCAAACTCGCGTCCCATAGGCTTCAGGGCCAAACTCGCGTCCCATAGGCTTCAGGGCCAAACTGGCGTCCCCATAGGGCCAAACTCGCGTCAGGGCCAAACTCGCGTCCCATAGGCTTCAGGGCCAAACTCGCGTCCCATAGGCTGCAGGGCCAAACTCGCGTCCCATAGGCTTCAGGGCCAAACTCGCGTCCCATAGACTGCAGTGCAAAAACGTCCCCTAGTGACTTCAATGCAAAATGCCAGCTATATTAATTCAATTAAACATTTTTTTTTTTTTAACTGTACGTTTTGGTTTTTCGGCCAAGTGCATCCTGAATTTTTCCAGTTTCAGCACCAGAATTTTCATTTCGGTGCACCACTAATATGCAGCACCAAAAAAGGGAGAGAGATAAATGTTTCTTCTACTTTAACTTTGCTTCTGTTGGGTGAACCGGGCAGCAGGGAGCAAGGAAAGGCAATTAAATGCTCCCGGGGGTGGGGTAATTAATTAAGCAAATTTTTTCCTTCACCCATGGTCACTCGCAGCACAAGGTCGAGGTGGGGATAACAAAAGTGATCATAGCAGCCATATTATCGAATATCTGCCTGATGGTTTCACACACTTTCTTCCTACCATCCAAGTAGATATTCGATATCCAGCCATGCCGCTGACATATTCTCACCTTGGACAATTCTCCCAGGTCCGGGCGTGTCCAGCCGTACTTGTCAAAGACACAGTTATCAAAAGCGATCTGCTCTTTACGACAAATGCGGAGTTCCAAGAGGCCACTATAGTCCAGACAAGTCCAGTAGTCTGTGAAAGGCTCCGCACACTGAGCTTTAACTTTTCTGGTGGAAAACAAAAGAAAAAAAAAAAATTATAACATGAGTAACAAAAAAAAAAGAAAAAGAAAAAGAAAAAAAAAAAAAAACATTTTGCTGTTGGCTGTCATGCAACACTGTAATGATATCTGTATCATTTATTTCACACAAATAGAGCTTTCCTTTGGTGGTATTTGATCACCAGTGAGTTTTTTTATTTTTTAGGATATAAGAAAACATTTTTTTTTTTTAACCACCTCCCGTCCGGCCGTTGTATATAAACAGCCAGACGGTGGCAGTGCAGGGGCGGGTGGGCGTTTGTAAATGTCCTCCCTGCCCCCTGCTTGAGCACGCTCCCTGGGAGCGCGCAGCACCGCGATCCGGTGCCCGCTGTGTCCTCCGGACACAGTGGAACACAGATCGTCGTACGGGACCTCTCTGCGAGGTCCCAATCAAGTGATCACTGATTGGCCAATCAGTGATCACATGCAGAGTAGTAAGCAAGATGTCACTTCTGACATCATTGCTTACTACGTGTGAAATCTGTGAATGATCACAGAGGTCACATGGTACAAGGCTATTCACAACAGCCTTGTACCATGTGACAAGCTGTGACCAATCACAGCTCACACAGTAGTTCTCAATGGCTGCAAGAATGCAGCCAGAGAGAAGAAGAAATGATTGCTTTTACAGCCTTTATGGGTGTAAAAGCAATCAGTGTAAAAAAAAAATCTTCATCACCCCCCACAAGTAGTACAGTGTCACCATGGTGACATTGTACTGCTAGGGTGACAATATGTAAAAAAAAAAAAAACAAATACTACAAAAAAAATAAAAATGTAAAAAAAAAAAAAATGTTTAAAAATTATAATTTTTGGTTATAAACTAATTTGGGTTATTTTTTTTACTAAAAAAATAATGGAATAAAATTTAGGCCAAGTTATGATGAAATATTATTTATCTGCGAAATTTTTCACTTTTTTTCAAAATTTTTGGACTTTTTCCTTTACATAACAAAAAAAATAAAAACCCCAGTGTTGAATAAATATCACCAAAATAAAGATTTATCTTTCTCAAAAAAAATGCTAAAAAATTCATATGGGTACAGTGTTGCACGACCGCGCAATTGTCATTCAAAGTGTGAAAGCACTGAAAGCTGGAAATTGCCCTGCACAGGAAGGGGGTAAAAGTGTCCGGACTTGAAGTGGTTAAAAACAAAACCAGAAAAAAAAAATTTCTTTTTTTTACTTTTTTGCTTTAAAACATATCCAATTTAAAAAAAAAAGAAAAAAAAAAAACGAATTTCTTTATAAATGTTGGTCAAAATGTATTCTGCTACGTCTTTGGTAAAATGAAAAAAAAAAAAAAGTCCCAATAAGTGTATATTGATTTATTGCGTGAAAGTTATAGCATCTATAAACTCTGGTATACACACACGGAATCCCTGCTTTGCAGGGATGAGAAACAGAGAGATCGTTCCTATGTACAGAGCCCTGTGTTGACTGCCAACACAGGGTTCTGGGCTGTGATTGGACACAGCCGATCAGCAGGTCCCAGCCATGAATCATTGGCCAGGACTTAATAACAGACTCCGGCTGTGTACAATCATAGCAGGTGTTGGTGTGTGTGTGTTTGGGAAGGGGGGGGTGACACTTGGGCGGCCTAAACCCAGAAGCAGGCAGCGACGTACCAGCACGTCACTTTGTCTGCATGGACTGCCCATCTGCAGTACATTGTGGGCGGGTGGTCTGCAAGTGGATATATAGAATACATATGGAAGCCATGCAGCTACATTTGTAAAGTGTGATCCCCCAACTCCTAACAGCCCTTTCACACAGTACTGGTGCGGTCCGACCACATTGCGGGAGCAGCACAACTCACCCATGGGTTTGGTACGGTTTAGCTGCGCTCTCCCATAGAGTTGCAATAAGTCCTGAGGTTTTGGTGTGCTTTCTGAAAGTGCACCAAAACTCCTGCATGCTGCATCTTTGGTGCGCTTGAAGCTCCAAAAATGCTCAAACCTAAAAAAAAAATGAATTGCTTTCTATGATGCCTGTTCGTGTGATCAGGTGTGAACAGGCGTGATCAGGCGCCATAGAGAACAATTGATTTTTTTAAGTTTGAGATTTTTTGGAGCTTCAAGCTACCAAACGCTCAAGTGTGAATGCAGCCTGAAAGTGATATTATTGCTAAAAATGTTCTTTTGACCTTAAAAAAAGGCAAAAAGCATTTTCTATTTCTCTGCCCCCCCCCCCCCCCCCCCCATCCATGTCGGGGAGGAGAGGGGAGAATAAATCCAGCACTGTGCACGGCTGCATCTCTTCTCCCCTCTCTTCCTCTTCACACAGCACTTGAGCAGCAGCAGGTGCCATTGACGCCTGCTGCTGTCAATTAAATGCAGTGAAGAGGAAGTGGGGGATGGGGCTAAGTCCTGCTGTGTAAGTCTATGGAACGCGGCATCATAGACACACAGCTCGGGAGCGCGCAGACACTGTGTGCCTCCATAGCACGCGGCTTGCTATGGGGACACACATAGGAGAGGAGGAGCAACCGCCGGGGGACCCGAGGTGGTGGATCGGGGCAACTCTGTGCAATACCACTGCACAGAGCAGGTGAAAAAAAAAAAATGTTCGACTTTAGTAACACTTTAAAGTGGTTGTATAGGCTTGTATTTTTTTTTAAAATCAAATAAACATATTAAAAACGTACCTGCTCTGTGCAATAGTATTGCACAGAGCAGCCCCGATTTTCTTCTTCTAGGGTCCCTCGCTGGAGCTCTTGGCTCCTCCTCTTCTATGGTCTCTCCCCCAGAGCTCTTGGCTCCTCCTCTTTAGTGTCTGCCACCACAGCAAAGTCACTTGCTTTGGGTGCAATCATGCAAACTCACTCCAAAGTCAGACTGTGTGTGTCTGTAGGCACACACACACACGCTTGGAGCTGCCCCCGCCACCAGGTGAGCCTGCTCCTAATGTACATACAATCTTATGTGAATATTTTTGATAAAATACATGGCTTGATGACAGGGCCTCTTTAAAAGCATTTATTTTAAATGATGCATTAAAAGTCAGCTCTACCGCAACTGCCTCTGAAGCTCACCTTCGGGGTGCAGAAGGAAATCAAAGTCACAGAGCCCCTGATCTCCTCCTCCCCTTACTCCACATTGAGGGCCGGAGGGGACAGGTGAACATGAAACAAGCCATCACCGATGTGACGGTGGAGGAATAATAATGGGTAGGAAAGGGAAGGGAGACGGGTTTACGAGTGACAAGTTGTGGCTGCCCATTGCTCCATTCTGTAGATGTAATCTGCTGGAACTCCTGGTCATCAATGTAGACCCAAGCTTTAAAGGAAGACCTTCACAACCCGATGCCTCACCTGTGGCCATGCACTATTTATGCAGCCCTCTGAGCCCCGGAAGACACCAATCTGCATTTAGCTCTTGTCCTGTTATAGCAGTGAGTTCTAGCAGACTCTCGTAGCCCGTCCCCAGTCTCCAACAACTCCTATAGCCTGTCCCCAGTCTCCAACAACTCCTATAGCCTGTCCCCATTCTCCAACAACTCCTATAGCATGTCCCCCCCAGTCTCCAACAACTATAGCATGTCCCCCTCCTACAACTCCTATAGCATGTCCTACAACTCCTACAACTCCTAGCATGTAGCATGTCCCCAGTCCTCCTACAACTCCTATAGCATGTCCCCAGCCTCCTACAACTTCTATATAGCATCCTACAACTCCTATAGCATGTCCCCAGCCTCCTACAACTCCCTATAGCATGTCCCCAGCCTCCTACAACTCCTATAGCATGTCCCCAGCCTCCTACAACTTCTATAGCATGTCCCCAGCCTCCTACAACTTCTATAGCATGTCCCCAGCCTCCTACAACTCCTATAGCATGTCCCCAGTCTCCTGCTATAGCATGTCCCCAGCATGTCCCCAGTCCCCAGTCTCCAACAACTGCTATAGCATGTCCCCAGTCTCCAACAACTGCTATAGCATGTCCCCAGTCTCCAACAACTGCTATAGCATGTCCCCAGTCTCCCTATAGCATCTCCAACAACAACTCCTATAGCATGTCCCCAGTCTCCCAACAACTCCTATATAGCATGTTCCCCAGTCTCCAACAACTCCAACAACTATAGCATGTCCCCAGTCTCCAACAACTTTATAGCATGTCCCCAGTCTCCTACAACTCCCATAGCATGTCCCCAGTCTCTCCATACATGTCCCCAGTCTCCTACCATAGCATGTCCCCAGTCTCCAACAACTCCCTATAGCATGTCCCCAGTCTCCAACTCCCATAGCATGTCCCCAGTCTCCAACAACTCCCTATAGCATGTCCCCAGCATGTCTCCAATAACTCCCATAGCATGTCCCCAGTCTCCAAACAACTCCTATAGCATGTCCCCAGTCTCCAACAACTCCTATAGCATGTCCCCAGTCTCAACAACTCCTATAGCATGTCCCCAGTCTCCAACAACCTATAGCATGTCCCCAGTCTCTACAACAACTCCTATAGCATGTCCCCTCCAACAACTCCCCCTATAGCATGTCCCCAGTCTCAACAATAGCATGTCCCCAGTCTCCCATAGCATGCCCCCAGTCTCCAACAACTCCTATAGCATGTCCCCCAGTCTGCCCCCCAACAACTCATATAGCATAGCATGTCCCCCCAGTCTCCAATAACTCCCATAGCATGTCCCCCCCCGTCTCTTACCATCTCTTTTGTCATGTCATGTCTGCAGTAAATGACCATTTCCTGTATTATGTCCGCAGTATCTGACAATCTCTTGTATCATAGTCTTGGTTATTGGTGATATAGGAGGCCACACTCAAGGTCCTCAATATCAAGAAAGATGACCATCCCTACTCTAATCTCCATATTCCCTATAAACATAAATGGGAAGTATATAGTAAAAAATAATGTTTAAAGCACAGGTGTCAAACTGGCAGCCCTCCAGCTGTTGCCAAACTACAAGTCCCATGAGGCATTGCAAGATTGACAGTTACAAACATGATTCCCAAAGGCAGAGGCATGATGGGACTTGTAGTTTCACAACAGCTGGAGGGCCGCCAGTTTGACACCCCTGGTTTAAAGTATAACCTAGCAGGAAAACTTTTTTTTTTCTTTTTAGTTTTGGATAGGGTGGAGAGGGATTAGAACACCCGGCAGTTTTTATTGCTGTCTATATCCCCATTGGGGACATTCACCCTCTCAATTTTATCTGTTTATCACTGAAAGTTACTCCCAAATTTAGATTGTCTCCAGAACAGGAACAGAGAGCAAATCTTCTAATGGCGACACTAGCTCTGGTGAGTCAAGGATTTCCTGTCACTTCCTGTTTTGGCTATGGGACAGGAAGTGAAGGAAAATCTCTGCAATGGGACAGAGATGGGTGGAAAAAAACCCTGACAGGGGATGTACCCCCCTGTACTCTATCTAAAACGACAGAGTTTTGCCTTTAGTTTCACTTGAATTCAGCAGCTAACTAAGCAAGCAGAGTTACCAAACCCCATCCAAAACTAAATGTCAATGCAGTCTTCCCCTGTGAGGGTCACGACCCTGCAGTAAATGGCAGAAGATGTGTTATGACTCTCCCATATAAAAAGAAGTGAGCAGACAATACCTGAAGAACTCCAGGGCGCACTCATTCACTCTCTTGCCCTCTTGAAGACATTTTCTTGGATCCTTCTCCTCCCAGCGACATAACATGAACTCTTTATTGACCTTGTCACACTGAGATCCATAGTGGTGGGCGGCAGCCTTCAGTACAGCAGAACTGACATTGATCTGAAAAGTTATAGAAATAAGTGTTAGAACAGAATGTAAGAAAAAAAAATAGATACAAAATCTCACGAGATGAAAAACTGAATACATCTAAAAAAAAAAACTTTATTGAAATGTAGGGACAGGTGATCAGGTTGCACGGGGTCATTGGTTGCTAAGACGCAGGTGCAGCTGAACTGCAGGTGTCACTGGATTATCGGACAAAGCATCACTGGTTGATAGGACGCAAGTGGCTGGGTTGCAGCGTCAATGATTGCTAGGATGCAAGTGGCTGGGTTATTGCTAGGATGCAAGTGGCAGTGTCAATGATTGCTAGGATGCAAGTGGCTGGGTTACACAGTGTCAATGATTGCTAGGATGCAAGTGGCTGGGTTACACAGTGTCAATGATTGCTAGGATGCAAGTGGCTGGGACAATGATTGGGTTGCACAGTGTCAAGTGTCAATGATTGCTAGAATGCAGGTAGCTGAGCAGCACAGCATCATTGGTTGCTGGTAAAGTGTGTCACTAGCATCTAGAAGTGGCCAGGCCGCACAGTGTCCTTGGATGCTAGGATGCAAGTAGCTAGGCTGCACAGTGTCATTGGATTCTAGGATGCAGGTAGTTGGGTCAGACAGCATCATCAATTTCTAGGACACAGGTGTCAGAGTTGAAAAATGTCATTGGTTGCTGGGACACAGGTAGCCGTTCCACACAGCGTCATAGGTTGCTAGGACACAAGTCTCCGGGGTTGCACAGTGTCATTGGTTGCAAGGACGCAGGCAGCCAGGCCGCACAGTGTAATCGATTGTCCTGTCATTGGCCGCTGGGATTCACATTGCCACTGATTGATAGGAAGCAGGTGAGAGGGCAACACATGTTCATTGGTTGCTAGGATGCAAGTGGGTTGGCTGCACAGTGTCATTGGTTGCTGGGACACAGGTAGCCGGTCCACACAGCGTCATAGGTTGCTAGGACACAAGTCTCCGGGGTTTCACAGTGTCATTGGTTGCAAGGATGCAGGCAGCCAGGCCGCACAGTGTAATTGATTATCCTGTCATTGGCCGCTGGGATTCACATTACCACTGACTGATAGGAAGCAGGTGGGAGGGCAACACATGTTCATTGGTTGCTAGGACGCAAGTGGGTTGGCTGCACAGTGTCATTGGTTGCTAAGATACTGATGGGCTGGCTGCAGAGTGCCACTGGTTGCTAGTATGCAGGTGGGCAGGCTGCACAGTGTCACTGGTTACTAGGACGCAGGTGGACAGGCTGCACAGTGTCACTGGTTGCTAAGGCGCAGGTGGGCAGGCTGCACAGTGTCTTCAGTTGCTAGGACGCAGGTGGGCAGGCTGCACAGTGTCACTGGTTTTATAGGACAGGCTGCACAGTGTCTTCGGTTGCTACGACGCAGGTGGGCAGGCTGCACAGTGTCACCGGTTGCTAGGACGGGGCAGGCTGTATGGTGCCATCAGTTTATAGACACAGGTGTAGGTCCTGTCATTGGGGGAGCCTTTTATAGAGCCCCTGTCATTTATCCTCTGAACAGAGAGGTCTCGGGCCTCTGTAAATGAGGGTCACTATAATGTTATTATCACATATACAGGAAATCCCCAGCAGACCCCCAATAACATATGTCCGCCTATGTATACCTCATGACACATCCCCTCCCCCTGCAGGACGTATATACACCCCCCCACAACACCAGAATCACACACAGTCCACCCACCTCCCGGACCTCCAGATCCTCCAATGGAGGTAAATCCATGGTCTCGGGCATGGCCGCTTCTGTCCCGGGAAGGTCAGCTCACCGCGCAGGCGCTGTACGTCTCCTCTTAGGAAACGTCGGGCGCGCTGGCGTCATCACCCTGTGTCCTTTATCCCTCAAAAGTAGAATTTGGAATAAAACGTGCCCGTTATATTTGTTGTTGGTCTCTGACACGACTGGTGTCTATTTTGGCCGAATTTGCATCGTCTGGCGTTTTCGAGTGTCAGGTGACCCTGGGGTTGCCGTGGTGAGGCGTCCAGGGTTGCCGTGGTAACGCCGCGGCCCGAAGATGGAGTACACCGGCAGTCAGTACCAAGGGGAGCGGCGGGAGGACAGGTACGGGGGAGAACAGGAGCGGGATTAGTTCATAAGAGGGAGTTAAAATAAAAGCAAAGGGTGAAATAGTTGCTCCCCCCCGTTCTCACTCAATGGTTTATTCCACCTGTCATGGCACAGAAGCCAGTGGGAGAAACCATTGCATGCAAAGGGGGGAGCATATCGGACACACTCTGGCTGTCAGTTGCGTTTGTGAATGTGACAGCTTCTCGCTCAAGGCTCGCTGGTTGCTAAGATGCTGGCAGGGGTCCTAGCAACCAATGACCTACCCCTGGTTCCACAGCTGAATGTAAACAAAGAAGCCAGGGCAGGTGGCTGATGTTGTTAACCCTTTTGCCGTCCATGTAACGCAAAGAGAGTGGGTTTAAATGCCCACCTGCCTCACATATGCGTCCATTGGCGCTATCCGTGCTGGGGGTGGGGGGGGGGGGGGTGCACTCCTAGAACAGTGGTGGAGCTGTCAAAGTCAGCACATGATCAACAGGACCATACCCCCGATCATGTGATCAATGTGACAGCCAATCACAGTGGTCACATGATTGGGCAGACCTTAGATAATACCCCTATTAAAAGGACTCTGGGGCTGGGCAGAAATGGTGAAACCAAATATAGCAAAAGCCATATTTGTTCTAGAAGTCAGCCAGTATCCACCGCCCCTTTGTTTACATTCAGTGATCAGCAGTGGAATCTTCCATCTGGCAGCCAAATGGAGTTGGGATGCATCACTGTTTGGTAGGATGATGTCGGCTGAGCAGCTGATAGCTTCCTAGCAACCAGTGATGATGTACAGCTCGTGGGCTGAACATGGTCTAAGGATGAAGTGTCCACAGTATGTGTCAACCCCCGACTATGCCTCAGTCCATGTTCAGCCCCCAAGCTGTACAGCATCATTGGTTGCTAGGACTTTATCAGCTGTGCAGCTAATTGCTTCATAGCAACCACCAGGGATGCTGCTTGATGTCATTAACCAAATTATTATTATTATACAGGATTTATATAGCGCCAACAGTTTGCTCAGCGCTTTACAATATAACGGGAGACAATACAGCAACAATACAGTTCAATACAAGAGGGAAAGGAGGGCCCTGTTCCTTGGAGCTTACAATCTAGGAGATATGGCAATGGCTATAACATCAGTCTGTATCCTGTCCCTTGTTTACATTCAGCGGGTGACCAATGAATCTTCCATCTGGCAGCTGAAAGGGGCTGGGGATGCTTCATTGATTGCTTAGATGCTGTCGGCTGAACAGCTGATAGCATCCTAGCAACCAATGATGATGTACAGCTCGTGGGCTGAACATGGGCTAAGGATGAAGTGTCCACAGTATGCGCCAATCCCCTCCCCCATGCCAACTATGCGTCAGTCCATGTTTAGCCCCCAAGTTGCACAGTATCATTGGTTGCTAGGACACTATCAGCTGTGCAGCTAACTGCATCCTAGCAACCACTAGGGATGCTGCTTGATGTCATTAACCAAATATGGCAATGGCTATAACATCAGTCAGCATCCCACATTTTGTTTACATTCAGCGGGTGACCAATGAATCTTCCATCTGCAGCTGAAAGGGGCTGGGGATGCTTCATTGATTGCTAGGATGCTGTTGGCTGAACAGCTGATAGCATCCTAGCAACCAATGATGATGTACAGCTCGTGAGCTGAACGTGGTCAAAGGATGTAGTGTCCACATTATGTGCCAATTCCTTCCCCCATTCTGACTATGCGTCAGTCCATGTTCAGCCCCCAAGTTGCACAGCATCATTGGTTGCTAGGACACTATCAGCTGTGCAGCTAATTGCATCATAGCAACCACCAGGGATGCTGACTGATGTCATTAACCAAACTTGGCAATGCCTATATTTGGTCAATGGCATCAGCCAGCATCAGTGCTCCTTTGCTTATGTTCAGCTTCCAGCCAGGGAATCTCCCAGCCAATAGCCAGGGATGAGTCATTGGTTGCTAGGATGCTGTTAGCTGATGGATCCAGGGGTGGGTCATTAGTTGCTAGAATGTTGTTGGCTGCACAGCTGATAGCGTCCTAGCAACCAGTGATGCCTGACAGCTCGGGGGCTGAACGTGGATTGAGGATGGAGTGTCTAGTATGTGTCGCACCCCTCCCGCACCATGCCTTCATGTACCGTTTTCAAATCTATATGCTCAAGCATCCTACACCCCTTGTAATCTGGGGAGATGATGGCGGTGCGGATGTTGAAGACTATATTTCCCGTTGATCCTGCCAGAAATGATGTGTCCTTGTCACTTCTTCTAAGCCAAACTGAAAGCACAAATGAGCTCCTTTCTGTTAATTATTTATCCCATCATCCCCTCTAAAATAAAGATAATGAGAGTAAGACATGTGTAAAATCCAGAACCCCAGCCTGTGTGACAACCGTGGCTCCCTCCATAGTTTCAGTATGAGAAAGCGTTGTCACCTTAGGACAGAAAGTGTGTAACTGTCAGTATCACCCAGGGAAAATAAAACCAAAGCAGCCACCATATCTAAGGATTGGTGAGCTTCAATCTATTACATTTGTTTTGGTGAGGGGGATGTTGGATACATAGTAATTATTTTGTTTTCCCTTCTATAGATTGGAAGGTAAAGGAGAATATATCCTCCCTACAGAAACCCGCTATGAAGGAGAGATGAAAGATGGAATGTTCCATGGCCAAGGAACACTGTACTTCCCCAATGGAAGTAAATATGAAGCTCAGTGGGATAGCGGCATAGCGCTGGAGGTAAGATACGTGAATAGTGAAGGACTTATCTGTTCGATTTTTTTTCACGAACTATATTTAATTTGATATTTTTTTAGTATATAAAACAAGGGCTTATTCACACCATGACCACTGGCCAGCTTTTCTCTGCACAGAAAAATGCAGGGCAGCACTAGGGCAGTTAGAAAACAATTGCGTCCTATGCGCTCTGTTGAAACAACAAAGCTTCAGTGATGTGCTGTGCAGAAAAATGCAGATCTACTGCATCTATCCACAGCACAGCACCACAGGTCACTGCAACATAGCTCTGCAGTGCGGAGACTTGAATAGAGTGTCATTTTGTACACTTTCAATAAAGTTATAATAAAGTACAAAAAAAAAAATAAAGTTAATAAAGTGAAAAAAAAAACTGGCTAAATGGTTAGAACTTCCACTTGGCAGTTCGAGGGTGGTTGGTTCTAATCCCAACCACGGCACCACCTGCCTGGAGTTTGCATGTTCTCCCTGTGCCTGCACGGGTTTCCTCCGGGTACTCCGGTTTCCTCCGACACTTCAAAGACATGCTGGTAGGTTAATTGGCTCCTGTCTAAATTGGCTCTAGTATGTGTATGTATGAATGTGAGTTAGGGACCTTAGATTGTAGGCCCCTGGAGGGTTAGGGATGGATGTGAATGTAATATATATATATATATATATATATATACAGTCAGGTCCATAAATATTGGGACATCGACACAATTCTAACATTTTTGGCTCTATACACCACCACGATGGATTTGAAATGAAACGAACAAGATGTGCTTTAACTGCAGACTGTCAGCTTTAATTTGAGGGTATTTACATCCAAATCAGATGAACGGTATAGGAATTACAACAGTTTGCATATGTGCCTCCCACTTGTTAAGGGACCAGAAGTAATGGGACAATTGGCTTCTCAGCTGTTCCATGGCCAGGTGTGTTATTCCCTCATTATCCCAATTACAATGAGCTGATAAAAGGTCCAGAGTTCATTTCAAGTGTGCTATTTGCATTTGGAATCTGTTGCTGTCAACTCTCAAGATGAGATCCAAAGAGCTGTCACCATCAGTGAAGCAAGCCATCATTAGGCTGAAAAAACAAAACAAAGCCATCAGAGAGATAGCAAAAACATTAGGCGTGGCCAAAACAACTGTTTGGAACATTCTTAAAAATAAGGAACGCACCGGTGAGCTCAGCAACACCAAAAGACCCGGAAGACCACGGAAAACAAGTGTGGTGGATGACAGAAGAATTCTTTCCCTGGTGAAGAAAACACCCTTCACAACAGTTGGCCAGATCAAGAACACTCTCCAGGAGGTAGGTGTATGTGTGTCAAAGTCAACAATCAAGAGAAGACTTCACCAGAGTGAATACGGAGGGTTCACCACAAGATGGAAACCATTGGTGAGCCTCAAAAACAGGAAAGCCAGATTAGAGTTTGCCAAACGACATCTAAAAAATCCTTCACAGTTCTGGAACAACATCCTATGGACAGATGAGACCAAGAGATCAACTTGTACCAGAGTGATGGGAAGAGAAGAGTATGGAGAAGGAAAGGAACTGCTCATGATCCTAAGCATACCACCTCATCAGTGAAGCATGGTGGTGGTAGTGTCATGGCGTGGGCATGTATGGCTGCCAATGGAACTGGTTCTCTTGTATTTATTGATGATGTAACTGCTGACAAAAGCAGCAGGATGAATTCTGAAGTGTTTCGGGCAATGTTATCTGCTCATATTCAGCCAAATGCTTCAGAACTCATTGGACGCCACTTCACAGTGCAGATGGACAATGACCCAAAGCATACTGCAAAAAGCAACCAAAGAGTTTTTTAAGGGAAAGAAGTGGAATGTTATGCAATGGCCAAGTCAATCACCTGACCTGAATCCGATTGAGCATGCATTTCACTTGCTGAAGACAAAACTGAAGGGAAAATGCCCCAAGAACAAGCAGGAACTGAAGACAGTTGCAGTAGAGGCCTGGCAGAGCATCACCAGGGATGAAACCCAGCGTCTGGTGATGTCTATGCATTCCAGACTTCAGGCTGTAATTGACTGCAAAGGATTTGCAACCAAGTATTAAAAAGTGAAAGTTTGATTTATGATTATTATTCTGTCCCATTACTTTTGGTCCCTTAACAAGTGGGAGGCACATATGCAAACTGTTGTAATTCCTACACCGTTCACCTGATTTGGATGTAAATACCCTCAAATTAAAGCTGACAGTCTGTAGTTAAAGCACATCTTGTTTGTTTCATTTCAAATCCATTGTGGTGGTGTATAGAGCTAAAAATGTTAGAATTGTGTCGATGTCCCAATATTTATGGACCTGACTGTATATATATATATATATATATATAATGTAAAGCACTGCGTAAATTGACGGCGCTATGTAAATACCTGCAATAAATAATAATAATTTTAAAAAAAACAGAACGTATCAGTGGCGCAATGCACTGGAACAGCACATCACACCACCCAGTAATATAGACCCTTTGCTGCACACTAGAAGTGACAGAGTGATCCAGTCTTAACTGTGTGGTCCAACAACAATGAGGCGGGGAGAAACCTGAATCATTTCAATGAATGAGGGGAGAGCCGACAACACTGGGGTAGGCGGGGACTTAAATCATTTTAGTGAATGAGAGGAGGGCCAACAATGCAGGGGTTGGCAGGGACTTAATTATTATTATTATTATACAGTATTTATATAGCGCCAACGGTTTGCTCAGTGCTGTACATTATAATGGGAGACAATACACGAGACAGTACAGTAACAATACAATACAATACACGAGGGGTTCGAGGGCCCTGCTCCTTGGAGCTTACAATCTAGGAGGGAGGGGAGCATGGTACAGGAGGAAATAGCTGTGGGGGATGGAGAGGTGGGAAGAGCGGAGGAGATCAGCAGTTAGGCGAGGGCGGGGTAGGCTTCTCTGAAGAGATGGGTTTTCAGGGTGCGCCTAAAGGTGAGGAGGGAAGGTGACAGTCTGATGGATTGGGGTAGTGAGTTCCAGAGGATGGGGGAAGTCCTGGAGACGGGTATGGGAGGAGGAGACAGGGAACTGGAGAGTAGGAGGTCTTGTGAGGAGCGGAGAGTGCGTTTTGGGTGGTAGATGGATATCAGGTCGGTGATGTAGTTTGGGGCAGTGTTATGAACAGCTTTGTATGTCAATGTTAATATTTTGAACTTAATCATTTAAATTGAGGGGAGGGCCAACAATACAAGGGTTGGCAGGGACTTAAATCATTTCAGTGAATGAGGGGAGGGCCAACAATGCAGGGGTGGGCAGAGCCAGGGACAACGCTGGGGTGGGTACTTGAATCATTTCAATGAATGAGGGGAGGTCCAACAATGCAGAAGTGAAAAGGAACTTGAATTGTTTTAATGAATGAGCTAAGGTCCGACAACGCAGAGGTGGGCAGTAATTTGAATTATTTCAATGAATGAGCTGAGGCCTGACAATGCTGGGGTGGGTAGGGACCTGACAATGCTGGGGTGGGTAGGGACTTAAATCGCTTCAATGAATAGGGGGAGGTCCAACTATACTGAGCTGGGTGGGGACTTGAATTATTGCAATGAATGAGGGAAAGGCCAACAATGCTAAGGTTAGCAGGGCCAGGGACCTGAATCATTTCAGTGAATGAGGGGAGGCCTAACAATGTAGAGGTGGGCAGGGACTTGAATTATATCAATGAATGAGGGGAGGGCCAACAATGTAGAGGTGGGCAGGGACTTGAATTATATCAATGAATGAGGGGAGGGCCGGCAATGCATTGGTGGGCAGGGACTTGAATTATATCAATGAATGAAGGAGTGGGAAGGCTGACAACGTAGAGGTGGGCAGGGACTTGAATTATATCAATGAATGAGGGGAGGGCAGGCAATGCAGAAGTGGACAGGGACTAAAATTATATCAATGAATGAGGGGAGGGCCAACAATGTAGAGGTGGGCAGGTGACTTTAATTATATCAATGAATGAGGGGAGGGCAGGCAATGTAGAGGTGGGCAGGGACTTGAATTATATTAATGAATGAAGGGAAGGCTGACAACGTAGAGGTGGGCAGGGACTTGAATTATATCAATGAATGAGGGGAGGGCAGACAATGCAGAAGTGGGCAGGGACTTAAATTACATCAATGAATGAGGGGAGGGCCAACAATGTAGAGGTGGGCAGGGACTTGAATTATATCAATGAATGAGGGGAGGGCAGGCAATGTAGAGGTGGGCAGGGACTTGAATTATATTAATGAATGAGGGAAGGGCCAACAATGTAGAGGTGGGCAGGGAATGAGGGAAGGGGAGGGCCAACAATGCAGGGGTGGGCAGAGCCAGGGACAACGCTGGGGTGGGCACTTGAATCATTTCAATGAATGAGGGGAGGTCCAACAATGCAGAAGTGAAAAGGAACTTGAATTGTTTTAATGAATGAGCTAAGGTCCGACAACGTAGAGGTGGGCAGTAATTTGAATCATTTCAATGAATGAGCTGTGGCCTGACAATGCTGGGGTGGGTAGGGACCTGACAATGCTGGGGTGGGTAGGGACTTGAATCGCTTCAATGAATAGGGGGAGGTCCAACTATACTGAGCTGGGTGGGGACTTGAATTATTGCAATGAATGAGGGAAAGGCCAACAATGCTAAGGTTAGCAGGGCCAGGGACCTGAATCATTTCAGTGAATTAAGGGAGGGCTAACAATGTAGAGGTGGGCAGGGACTTGAATTATATCAATAAATGAGGGGAGGGCTAACAATGTAGAGGTGGGCAGGGACTTGAATTATATCAATGAATGAGGGGAGGGCCGGCAATGCATTGGTGGGCAGGGACTTGAATTATATCAATGAAATGAAGGGAAGGCTGACAACGTAGAGGTGGGCAGGGACTTGAATTATATCAATGAATGAGGGGAGGGCAGGCAATGCAGAAGTGGGCAGGGACTTAAATTATATCAATGAATGAGGGGAGGGCCGACAATGTAGAGGTGGGCAGGGACTTTAATTATATCAATGAATGAGGGGAGGGCAGGCAATGTAGAGGTGGGCAGGGACTTGAATTATATTAATGAAATGAGGGAAGGGCCAACAATGTAGAGGTGGGCAGGGACTTGAATTATATCAATGAATGAGGGGAGGGCAGGCAATGCAGAAGTGGGCAGGGACTTAAATTATATCAATGAATGAGGGGAGGACCAACAATGTAGAGGTGGGCAGGGACTTTAATTATATCAATGAATGAGGGGAGGGCAGGCAATGCAGAGGTGGGCAGGGACTTGAATTATATCAATGAATGAGGGGAGGGCCGACAATGCAGAGGTGGGCAGGGACTTGAATTATATCAATAAATGAGGGAAGGGCCAACAATGTAGAGGTGGGCAGGGACTTGAATTATATCAATGAATGAGGGGAGGGCCGACAATGTGGAGGTGGGCAGGGACTTGAATTATATCAATGAATGAGGGGAGGGCCGACAATGCAGAGGTGGTCAGGGACTTGAATTATTTAAATAAATGAGGGGAAGTCCGACAATGCAGAGGTGGGCGGGGACGTGAATAATTTCAATTAATGAGGGTAACTCCGACAATGCTGAGGTGGGGAGGAAATTGACTTTATTCAGTGAATGAGGGAAGGGCCAGGAACACTGGGGTGGGCAATGAATTGTATCATTGCAATGAATGGTGGGAGTTCCAACAATGCAGAGGTGGGCAGGGACTTAAATCGTTGCTGTGAATGAGGAAAGTGCTGACGACCCTGAAGTGGGCAGAAACTTAAATCATTGCATTGAATAAAATACAGGCCAACAGCACTGAGATTTGGTGGGGACTTGAATCATTAAATTGAATGAGGGAAGCACCAACAGCATTGAGGTGAGCGGGGACTTGACTAAGGGGAAGCACAGACAGTGCTTGTGGTGGGCAGGGACTTGAATCACTGCAATGAAGGGGAGAAGAACTGACAACATTGAGATGGGCGGTGATTTGAATAATTGAAGTGAATGAGGGAAGCAAGGAAAACGTTGAGGTGAATGGGGACTTGAATCCTTTGAATGAATAAGGGGAAGTGCCAACAACGCTTTGCTGGGTGGAGACTTTCACATCAAGTGGCCTACAGTGGGAGCAGTCAACAAGGCAAGAGAGAAGGGGCTTGTTATCACTTGGAACTCTTCAAGTCGTGCCAGGAATTTCAGTGGTGGCTTGAAGGAGTTGTTGGCACAAAGAGATATACTGTATATAGAGGAGAAAACATGGCAATCATATTAGGGTTTATTAGAGGTGATAAACTAGGCACTTAAAAAAATGTTAGTTTTGGCTTTGATCAACATTTTAAGTTGTTGTGTAGTTTTACATTGTTTCTATTTATTCATTTTTTTAAATTCAATAGGGAAAATACACTTTTGCTGATGGACTTCAATTTGAAAAGGAGAAGTGGCCTTACTGTGATGGCTACGACAGAAGATTTTATACTGAAATTTGTCATGGATTAAAACCTGCAGGTATAGTTTTGTTCAATATCATACTGTTTCTCTGTCCCACCAGGCCTGACAGTCGGTGAAAGATCTACGTCTTCTTGGTTAACTTGACACCCTGCTGAGACCTTCTCTCCGACTCTGCTGGCTAATGGAGGTGGAAGCTTTTATTGGCTGTAGATCATGAACAGATTTTCTAAGATGCTGGTACATATCAGTGTTGACAATTAGGAGTGCTTGTTGTCACTCTCCAGTTAACCTTTACCTGATTTATTATTAGCCAACACAAATCTATCAATTCCAAGAACACATTTTTAATTAGGTACCATAGGTACCTGCTTATAGGTTTTGCAATGGGGGGGTGGGAATGCTCTGGCTTCTGCAGACCAAAATTTTGGGCTCAGGTGTTTCCAGTGAAGAATCTTGTTAATGCTATATACAAAGATATTTTGGACAACTGGGCGCTTTCAACCTTGTACCAATATTCTGGTGAAGGCTGTTTTCTAGTTTAGCATCACTGTGTACAAAGCCAGTTTCATAAAGACATGGGTTGACTAGTTTGGTTTGGGGGAACTTGGAGTGGTCTGCACACAGCCCTGACCTCAACCCTACTAAACACCTTTGGGATTAATTGGAATGCCCATTGTGAGCAAGGTTTTCTCATCCACCATTAGTACCTGATTTCAATGCTACTGAACACCTTTGGGATCAGGTCTTCTCATCCAACATCAGTACTTGACCTCAATGCTAATAAACACCTTTGGGATCAGGTCTTCTCATCCAACATCAGTACTTGACCTCAATGCTATTGAACACCTTTGGATTAAGGTCTCATCCAACATCAGTACTTGACCTCAATGCTACAGAACACCTTTGGGATCAGGTCTTCTCAGCCAACATCAGTACCTGACCTCAATGCTACTGAACACCTTTGGGATCAGGTCTTCTTATCCAACATCAGTACCTGATATCACCCCTACTGAACAACTAAGAGATTAGATCTACTTATCGAACATCAGTACCTGACCTCAACTCTACTGAACACCTTTATGATCAGGTCTTTTTGTCCAACATTAGTACCTGACCTCAACCCTACTGAACACCCTTGGGATTAGGTCTTCCTTATCCCATATCAACACCTAAGCACATAAATTCCTGCAGACACACTCCAAAATCTTGTGTCCCAGAAGAGTGAAGGGTTTTTTGTGTGTGTGGGTGGAGAGGCACCCAACTCCATATTAATTTTCATGGTTTCAGAATGGGATATCCAACAAGCTCATAAACGTAGGTGTGATGGTCAGGTGTTTAAAGAATTTTGACCATATAGTGTATATTTAATTTTCGTGTGTGCTTCAATGTACATGGAGTAGGTCCAGTGTAAATGGATCCTAAACCTTTTCCCTCAGCCATACACATAGAGTATATAGTAGAAGCATGGAAATAAGCCTTATTCCATGCTGGAACATACTGTATATGCATTGCTATTTTATGCTCAGAGCATGCTCAGTTGTGGTCCTCCATCACTGTGACCGCGCTGTCACAGAAATCTTCCGGTCACACAGTAACGATCGAAAGCCAGTAGGATGGGCTTCTGATCATGTGATCACTGTGACAGCCATGACTTGATTGGAAAGACTGTGAGATGCCTCCGGCATTAATGCGGAACTAAACCTTCCTATTCTTTACAGCCAAGGAAGCAGCCATCTTAGCCTTTGTTTGATCTGCAGTTACCATAGTGCTACAAGTGTGACCAGTTATGATACCAGCCATTTGCTGGTTTGAGAGTTTGGTTGGTTCGTTCTTAAGCTTTAAAATTTTCTTAAAAGGGAAGTGGGAAGGGGCTAAGATATACAGTATGTGAACACAATCACTAAAATCTCTCTGCCACTGAGGTTCTTTTTAAGGTACTTCCTGTTATAGGGTGACAACACTCTGTCCTTGCCTCACAATTGTGGTTCTAGGTTGTCAATATGTCACAAAACACTGCAACTGTTTTTTATACACAAAATATCTTTCATTTAGGGTTTCCATTTATTTTAAAGTGAAAGTAAAGCTACGATTGTATCATTTACCTACAGATGAGCTTACAGTAAAGCTTACCTGTAGGTAAAATTAATATCTCCTAAACGTGCACCGTTTAGGAGATATTCGCTCTTTTTGTCAGCTGGCACATCCGCTCTGAAGGAACGGCATGGGTATGCCGTTGTCACGGGACTCACATGCACATGCCTGGGAGTGACATCATCGCGGCTCGGCCAGTCAGATGACCGGAACTTACAAACCCAGACTGGGTGAAGATGGAAACCTCTGCAACAGGGATGGCGAGCCGCTGGAGGGCTTAGTTTTCCGGTAAGTCCTGCATAATGTGCTAGTATGTGATGCATACTAGCACATGATGAGATTAATTTCCAGGGGATTTGAAAAAAAATTTTAAGCTGCAGACTATTATCACTTTAAACCTGTGTAATGCAGAAATCGGCAACCTTTTGTTCCTATTTTCCTCTTAGGTCGCTCCCAACTTACAAATTTAGATCCTCCTCGAAAAATTCCGGAAGACTGTTACGATTGCGGCGATGGATTTTATGATCCGGTCAGTAGGGTGGTGAATGACTACCAGCACAGATTCCTTCGAAATGCAGGTCAGTCTATACAATTATTACATTCTGTTCTCTCATGTTAAAGATGAACTCCGGGCAAACAGCTAAACACCCCAATGAAATACCTACAGCATACGGGAGCTCTTGGCTCTTCCCCAGCCTGTGATTGGACAGTGGAAGGAGAAACAACAGACTGATGATCTCATCTCTCTGCCAATGTCGGGAGCCGCCATGATCCGCGGCTCGGTGCAGGTCCACTGTGCCCGTTCACGCTAGTGTACGGGCACTAGATCCTGGCCGGCCGCGGGGGAGACTGAATCCGCACATGCGCACTCGAAGCCGCGGGTGCGCGCCTGGCACCAATGACAGCGCAGTATTTAAACTGCCCTGCACTGACAAGAGTTGCCGTTTGGTCTCCCTGTGTTCCTGATTTGCTGTTCGTGATTCCTGATTGTTGCTGACCTGGATTGTTCCTGACCTTGCTGTATTCTCCTGCTTTGACCCCTGGCTTGCCTGACCTCCCTCCTGGATGCCCCCTATTGGACCTGATATTCTGTTGCTGACCTGGCGTGTGACCCAACCATTCTCTGCCCGCTGCTTTGTACCGCACTGCTCCCACGGCTACCGACTCAGCTTGTCTGACCACGCTCCTGGATGCCCCCTATTGGACCTGATATTCTGTTGCTGACCTGGCGTGTGACCCGACCATTCTCTGCCCGCTGCTTTGTACCGCACTGGTCCCACGGCTACCGACTCGGCTTGTCTGACCACGCTCCTGCCCATCCATCCACCTCGCTCTGGCATATCCGCCTCTTCACATCAGGCTCTCCCCCTGAAGAAACCTCTGGCGGATCCCTCTACCGCGGGAGGATGTACTCAGGAGCCGCGACCTGGTCTAGGTTCGCTCCAAGTCCATCCCCACCATCAGGGGCCCTAGTGAACAAGCGTACCGGGACTTAGACTACGCGCTCTGGGGAAACCTAACCAGTGGGCTGCTAGAGGTACCGCCAGGCGGTTCCTTACAGTCACTCTCGTCCTTTCAGCTTGTTCCATGTTAGCATATAAGCACTGCAGCAGAGTTCACCCTCTGCTGCTGTGTGGGCTTTGTTGCAAAGAGGATTGCAAGCGACCTAAACAAAGTCCATTTAAAATACTTTACACATCATTAAAAAATACATTTAAAGTGGACTTCCAGCTTAAACCTAACTAACCGTAAAATGCCCCCTCCACCTTTGCCGACTAACCTGTATAACAGTGGTCTCCAATCTGCAGCCCACGGGCCAGATGCGGCCCTTTGGTTGCTTTTATCAAGCCATTGGGGCAATATTTAATCCTTCATACCTGAACAATGGGGCATAATTCCTCCCACTGACACCAACGATGGGGCACTATTCCTCCTGTTGTCACTAACGATGGGGAATAATTCCCCTTACTGACACCAAAGAAGGGGCACAATTCCTCCCAATGACACCAAGGCTTCATGGCTCCAGGATGCTGTCCCTTTATCCCAGCCATGAGGGCGGGGATGGGGGAAGCCACTTAGCAGCCAGGCACAGTGTCCATGAAAAGACTGGCCTTTGGGGGGCACAACTGAAATTTAGGGGGGGTGTAGCCCACCCCAACAGCTCCCTAGATCCGTCTATGGTGGAGAGTAGGGAAACCAGAGTCTGTCGCTGCACCCAGGGGCGTATTTACCACAAGGCAAACAAGGCATTTGCCTAGGGCGGCACTTTTCAGGGCGGCAGCAGCATTTTTCAGGGGGGCAGCACTGCCCTCCGAAAGAAGGGACACAAACAGCATGGGGCGAAAACAAAGAGCGCACCAATCTTGCGCATTACCTCATTAAGCCAAAATGTATTAATTACAGAATAATACTCACAAAGAAGCTCTGATGAAGAAGGTTCGTCCTTCGAAACGCGTCAGTATTCCCTGAGTGTCCACTCCTCTGATGGGACTCGCGCAGGCTGCTTTTATCCTTAGTCCCTTTGAGGACTTACATGCATGATATACTTCAGTGTTTGTGAGTATTATTCTGTAATTAAAAAATTTTGGCTTACTGAGGTAATGCGCAAGGTTGGTGCGCTCTTTGTTTTCGCTTCACAGTATTGGTCGGGCTTCCCCAGCCTTGTTTGGAGGTGCACAACCCCACCTGCACTGGTGGTAGAAACTTCCAAGTCCTGGCTCCATCTACCTTCCCCCGTGTTGGGTCATAGAGCGCAAGAGAGCTTGTTTTCTTTCTAACGCACAGCATGGGGACCAGGTGGGATCGGAGAGAGGTTGCGGGCTGCTTGATGGTGTATGCAGAGCCTGACTCTTGTTCCCGGGGATGACCGAAGCTGTGAAGGTGAGTGTCTTCTCTCTCTCTTGCTGAGGGTGTGGGAGGTGTCAGTGTATGGGGGGTCGGTGGTAGTGGAAGGCTGTCTCGGATGGGGTGGGGAGAGGGCTGGGAAGTTGTTGGTCAATGGCAAGCTCTCTTCTTGGGGGGGGGGGGGGGGGGTGTTGGTTGGTGTCACGGTGTCAGGGTCTCTCCATGACTGACTTCTTCCAGCGGCCCCCTCTCTTCCTCCTCTCCTCCCCTCCCCCCCCTCTCCCCTTCCCTCTTCCTTCCTCTGCTCCTTCCTCTCTCCCCCTCTGGGGGGGGGGGGCGATCTTTGTGTTGCCTAGGTCAGCAGGAAACCTAAACACACCATTGGCTGCACCCTAGGTGGCAGTGTGCCCTAGGCGGCTACTTAGTTCGCCTATTATTATTATTATACAGTATTTATAAAGCGTCAATAGTTCGCTCAGCGCTGTACATTACAATGGGGAACAGAACAATACTAATACAATGCAAAACATGAGGGGTTCGAGGGCCCTGCTCTTTCGAGCTTACAATCTAGGAGGGAGGGGATGATGGTGGCACAGGAGGAGATAGCTGTGGGGGATGGAGTGGTAGGAAGAGTGGAGGAGGTCGGCAAGTTAGCAGGTGGTGGGGTAGGCTTCCCTGAAGAGGTGGGTTTTCAGGGTGCGCCTAAAGGAGAGGAGAGTAGGTGATAATCTGATGGGTTGGGGCAGGGAGTTCCAGAGGATGGGTGACACCCTGGAGAAGTCCTGGAGGCGGGCATGGGAGGAGGAGCCTAGTGGTAGCGCCAGCCCTGCCTGCGGGATGAACAATGACAAATCTACCAGGCGGCATTGAATGAACCCAGTTTTCACTGCCCAGGCCATTTTTGTTTATTGCTTAAAACCGATTTAAAGGCGAAGATCGTTGGCGAGAAATGCAGTTCTTCGCAGCACTGTAGACGCGGTAATTTCTTTGTCATAATATTGTGCTTTTGTATAATCCACAGGCCTGAGCCGTGAAAAGAAGCACTTTGGCTTGTGATAGTGGAAATTGTACCGCGGGTTCCTGCCTAATATATCATCATCATTTGAAGTTCTGGATGTTTATTTGGTTTAGGTTTAAACAATTAAGCTCCAGATGAACAGTGCTTTCAATTAGCTGCGCTCGGCGCGCACTCTTACGAATTAGGAAAACGACCCATTGCTTGCCTTATTAATGGCTGGTTTTAAATCTTCGGGTTAACGTTGGGACAGCAAAATAATTTGCCTTGTAAATATTCTTTAGTGGTTAAAGTTAAAGTTTGATCGGCTCCCTACCCCATCCATCAACTTGATAGGGTATTTTTAAAGAAAACATTTCTATTTTCAATACAGAGCTTATTTTACGGACAGTGATGTTATCACTGGGTCTCTGTGCTTCTCTATGCAATGCAGCCGACTCATAGCTGTTGAGAGGGGCTGGCAGGGTGCAGTACATAGCTTCCTGAAAATATCACAATACCCTGCCTTAGTACTGTTCTCAAGAGTCTTCTGCCCTGTTGCAAGCACTGGGAGGGGTTATGCAACTATAAGAATGCTTTGATGGGTATAAGAATGCTTTGATGGGTAGGTGTCATTCTGAAGAAGTGGACGTCCTAGGTAGGCTGTATTTGCATGCAGGGCCCCCTAGGTAACACCCACAAGTGATACCTAGCCTCCATCATTGAAAGAATTGAAATACAATGAATGACAGGGGTGGGTCAGGGCCAATCAGGCTGGGGAGGAAAGGGCTAAATCTGGGTCCTCCAAACTTTCTATAGAAAGGGCCAGTTTACAGATCTTCAGACAGGAGGGCCTGATTGTGGCTAGTGGGGGTAAGAAATTGCCTTGGCATCAGTGGGAGTAGACAGTGTCTCAGGTTTGGTGGTCAGTGGGGGGAGGAATAGTGCCCCATCATTGGTATCAGTGGGAGGAATAGTGTCCCATCATTGGTATCAGTGGGAGGAATAGTGCCCCATCATTGGTGTCATTGAGAGGAATAGTGCCCCATCATTGGTGTCATTGAGAGGAATAGTGCCCCATCATTGGTGTCATTGAGAGGAATAGTGCCCCATCCTTGGTATAATTTGAAGGAATAGTGCTCCATCATTGGTATCAGTGGGAGGAATAGTGCCCCATCATTGGTATATTTTGGAGGAATAGTTCCCATCATTGGTGTCAGTGGGAGGAATAGTGCTCCATCATTGGTATCAGTGGGAGAAATAGTGTCCCATCATTGGTGTCAGTGGGAGGAATAGTGCCCCATCGTTGGTGTCATTGGGAGGAATCGTGCCCCATCATTGGTATCAGTGGGAGGAATAGTCCCCCATCGTTGGTATCAGTGGAAGGAATAGTGCTCCATCATTGATGTCAGTGGGAGAAATAGTCCCCCATCATTGGTGAATAGTGTCAGTGAGAAGAATAGTGCTCCATCATTGGTATCATCATTGGTGTGGGAGGCATAGTCCCCCATCATTGATGTCAGTGGGAGGAATAGTGCCCCATCATTGGTATTAGTGGGAGGAATAGTCCCCCATCATTGGTATCAGTGGGAGGAATAGTGCTCCATCATTGGTGTCAGTGGGAGGAATAGTGCCCCATCATTGGTGTCAGTGGGAGGAATAGTGTCCCATCATTGGTGTCAGTGGGAGGAATAGTGCCCCATCATTGGTATCAGTTGGAGGAATAGTGCCCCATCATTGGTGTCAGTGGGAGGAATAGTGCCCCATCATTGGTATCAGTG